TAAACGTATCTTTATATATTATTAATAAAATTTATTTATTATTTATATGCAGATATCAGTTATACTTTATTTTTAAACCTTGTGGCAGTTATTTCTTACATACTGTTTGACTCTTTTAGCCATCCAATCTGAAAAGATAGCTTGAAGCTCTAATAATACTTTTAATATTGCAGTTTCAGGTGGTTTTTCTTCAAATTCAAATAATTGGTCAAGTATAGCTTTTTCTGCATTTGTAGTAATATGACATATCTTTCTTAGATGACTAGTATCAGAAAGTAATATCTGTTATGATAATGATAAAGTATACTGTTGAATAATTAATAAACAAGTAGGTTTGTCTACTTTACTACTTTTTTGTTTTTTTATACTTTCAAGTTAAGCATAAATATAATGACTTATGTCTCAAGCATAACGTTCAACAATTACCTGAGATTCAGTTTTGTATATATCTTGCATAAGAATTTGTTGAAAGTATGATTTACCAGACTCATAAAAAGAAAGAATATTTTTAATACCTTTTTCATTAATTTCTAATGCATTTTCAAACAAATGGTGCATTATAGAATTTGAATGATCAAAGGCAGATGATAACTTTTTGACTAAGGATCAGAGTGAATCTTTCTGTGATTTGATTGTGTGAGCATTTTGGTTTATCACAATATCATCAGTATATTCTGCAAGAAGCATTAATAAATGATCTCTCTCACTCTGAGCTGCCTTAATCTTTGACATCATGGTTGGCTGGTCAGTAAGATTTTTGGTAATATTTGTTTATAAACTTTACGCTATATTTCAAGTGCTTCATTAAAAGCCAAATAATGTTCTTCACTTGTAAGATTTACTAAGCATACTATTTGTAATAATTTCTGTAGCTATAAATCATCATGAACTTGAGCCAAAAAATGTGCAACAAAACTTGCATACTTGAATTTTCTAGCTGCAAGAAAGAGAGGTGCGAATGTAGCTAAATTTGATATCTGCATCCTATAATTTCCTCTTCTAATTCCTATTTTATGATCCATTAAGTATCTAGTCCAACAGAAGAAGAGATACCATACCTTTATGAATTGATTATTACCCTTTAAAATATCATTCATAGTTTCTCCTTTGTTTTTCATATACTGACACAATACAATTCTGACTGCAATCCAAATTATTTCTAATACATGATATATTACCCAGTAATCTATGATACGTTTAAGTTTATCTAAGTATTATACACCAAGAGTTACCATAAGGTTAAATATTCTATATCTCAAGAATATTGTAATTAAAGTACTGTACATATCTTTAGATATATGTCACTGTCCTAAAAGAAACTGAGTATCCTTGTGAATTTCCTTATAGGAGATTAATCTTTCAAAAATTGCTTAGTCACATACAATACATAGACGATTATTATCACCATGAGGTAAATCATTGCGGTATATTTCACATTATCACCGTGAAATTCTTCAACTCAAGGTGGTTATGTTATTAAGTCTCTACTCAAAATTACTAACTGCGATTTACTACAGTTAAGACGTTAAGATCTGTCTAACTCTTAATTTTACTAGATTTACACGTTGAACTTAAATGAATCTATCAAGTATGAAGACTTGAAAGACGAAATTAGGGACAATTTTAATTAAAGAATTCAGATGACGAACTCAATTACAAATAATGTGTAGGGATCACGTCAGACTATATGAAG